ATATATATATATATATTTAAATCTCTTAGTAAGAACTCTGACTAAAGTAGTCCGGTTATAAACTTTAACTGAATTCTTGGATGTCAATGTTGAAAACAAAACATATGTTACTTAGCTAAAAAAAAGATAAGATTAAATTGGTTTCCGGGATGTCCCACGTGCAACTTTATCACTTACATCCGAGTCTTTTATTTTCCCCGGCCAGTAGTCTTTAACAAAGTTATTACACGGTTTTCTAAACAATACCTGTGTTAGTACGGGCCGCACGATCACATTACCTGGAGGCTGCATCCAAGGTTCACCATCTATTTGTACAGGCATCTCTGACTTTTTTTTGATATTTATCTGTAACAAAAATCATAACGATCGATAAAAAAAGGATCGAAGGGGTAAATAAAGAGGGTCAGTTTCTAAAGAAACTGCGCTGCTGCGTCGATGGGGATACTACGACGTAATTTGGTTTTATCAGCTGAGTTGATATTATAAATTGACCACCGTAGAGGGTGTTTGAAGCTGACGTTTCGAGCGCTAGCCCCTCGTTAGAGCGAATGGTGGAATTGTGGGTTGTGTATTTTCTATACAGAAAACTAGAACTACGCTATTGATGCAATTTTGCTGTCTTTGAGAAATTTACTCAGGTTTATTAACACCAAACTGCACTCGAAATCGTGTCATTACGAAACCAGAGCCTGTACTCTTTCTTCTCCATGGAGGAATGAAAAAGACTAGCCCAAGTGTAGCCGTAGTCGTAGCTTTCCTCCGTGGAGAAACGAAAGGGAGGGTACGGCTACACGTAGGCTGGAGTAAGGGTGGAAATCATTCTTCGTTAACATGGTAACGTGACAAACAAGAATGACAAGATAACAATAAGAGAGAATAACTCACTTATGGCTTTATTTGTTTACTGGATTTTAATGAGGTATCTATACCTGGGCTCCCTGTGCCAGTCGGATACCAGTCCTGATTCCACTTTGAGTTTGACCCTTTAAGTAAAAAAGAAAACCACTCATCTTCATATTTACTTCTCAATGAAAACGTTTCCGATCTATATACGTAAGAAATGACAAGGCTGGATACAAAAAATAAAGGCAGTTAATAGTAAAACATCACCTGGTGTAGCTTGGAGAGAACTGTATGGAGAATGTACCAGTTGATGTTAGGGCGTAAAAGGAAAACCCGGTAGTGATTCTGACTTACCATGTGCATGACTCCCTGAAGTCCAACTACTCTACAAGAACGTCACAGCGACAAGCTGAGGCATAACGCTGCAAACGGAGTCAGCAATTCTCAATTAAGAGTCGAAGAGGAATCCGGGATCGCAGCTGTTTTGATTAACTTCGCTTTGTGATTGGTTCAGATATCTTGAGCCACTCTTTGAACCAATAAAGAGCAAAACCAAAACCAACCGTGTTTTATTCATTTGCAACATCCACGATCACAAATGATGGAGTTCTCACTGTCTACATGTACTTGCAATTTAGTGTTTTCTGGTTGGCCGCTGTGATCTCTTCAGTATCGATCCTGTTTACCAGGTGCTCTCGACCGATATATCGGTCGATGTATTGGTTGATATATCGGTCGAGAGGCGGTCGATAATCGATCGATATGTCGGTCGAGACTCGGTCGATAATCGGCCGATACTCGGTCGAGACTGGGTCGAGACTCGATTGCTATATCGGCCGAGATGTATGTCAGCCGATATAGCGATCGCCCCGACGGAGTGATTTTAAAGATCTCACTTGGGACAACGTGTCAAGCTTGGTTCAGAGGCTTTTTGTTGCTAAGAAAAAGGAAAGAGATCAATACTAAATTTAAGTCCTATTACATACATCTTCTTTATCTGAGCCCCATGCATCCGTACCTGCTCCCCAACTGGTTGAAAAACAAAGTAAAAAAACTTAAAACAAACTTCTCAAGTACAAAAGCGATACTTGCACTTGAATTGCTAGTCAGACTTTGAATAGATTCCAACTCATGCGTCTAGGCCAGATAAAGTTTGGGCACTACACCTGACAGGGCTGCAAAGCTACATAATGGGAGTGAGACAAAGTGAAGCTACTGTAACTATTGCTATTCTAGCTGATTGTGATGCTAATCCATAGTAGATTAACATCCTCCCCCTTCCCTCTTCCCTGCATTTTGTCGGGTTTATTTGGCCGTTCACTGTGGGTGGAGAGACGCTTTCTAAGAACACCGAGTTCATCCCATGAAAGCAACCATGTACCATGTTCCAATATCTCCGTTCTACAGATTAATCACCTCTACTTCGACTTCGTGAGTAAATATCCGCGAGTAGCCTTTGACCATTTTCTTTATCCCTGCTCTAAAGTAAACTCCTTTGTTATGAAGCCTGAAAAAAGGAAATCACAGAATCAACAAAGTCATAATTACAATAAATCATAAAACGCAAGGTCGGGGCTCTCCAACCTCGCCACTTTCAAAAGCACTTACGATGGTAGTTAAAATATATTGGACGGTTAACTGCTCCGTGGCCTTCAATAACCTTTGGCGGGTGGGAAGGTGGAGGTAGTCTGTAAGACTTCTAAAATGATAAATAGAGTCACGCACGCACATTCCCACAGACGAAATACAGACGACAAAGAGAACAACTCAGAAGACTATAAAAACATTTGTTACCAATTGCAAGTGCCATCCAATAGCCTTAGCAATCAACACTGTTCCTTAAATCGAGCGGATGTAAAACTACTGTAACAAGTAGATTTACTTTTATTGCATCCTCACCTGTTATGGAATTTATCAGGTGCTTCCTCTCTCTGAAGATGAAAATCTAACCAAAATCAGCTCCAATTCCGATGCCAAAGTAGTTATTCATCGTAAAAATACTAGGATCGTCCTCTCTTCCTCCCATCGAACCAAGTGCGCTGTCGTTTGACAGTGTGTCAGGAACGTTAGTGTCCACGGAGTCAAACATGACACACCATCTATCAAGAAACACTTCGTGAGCCTGGTCAATGGCCATGAGTAGCGATACAGGACTCTCGCCGCCAGAGTAACCACTTCCCCAATGGAGGATACGAGAGAGATCATTACCTGTACGTTTACAATCTAATTTAGTTTCCCAAACATTATCTATCCACTAAGAAGAACACTAGAGAGATCAGTACATGCAAGCTGAGAATCTCATCCAACTTCCATCTCAATCTGTATCCACTAACGAAATCCCCACAAAGAAATTATGTTAGTGCTCTC